GCGGCTGGAGGTTGGTCTTGCCAATGGGAGACAAGGGGGTGTTGGACAACTGTGGCCGGCCCAGCTTGACAGGGCTTTCAAGACCGCCCGCATTGAGTTTGAGGGCGTTGTCGAATGCCGCGGGGAGGTCATTGGCTCCAGGAGGAACCATCTTCTTGCTCGGGCTGCCTTGCGGTGTAGCGAGTGGTTCGATGAAGCTGTTGGCAGCGGTGTTGCCAGTCGGGGTGCTGGACCGTTCGAGGCTGGGCTGCGCGTCTTCCTTTGAGGTGCCCCCGGGGAAGATGCCGGAGATGAAGCTCGCCATGCTTGCGTGGAGGCTCTGCGCCTATGTGCCCGTGGATTCTGCAGGCGAGATCGATGCTGTGCGCTTAAGAGCGATTTTCAGATCTGAAGCCGTGACGGACAAGAAGGAACTCAGAATGTTTGTTTTGCTGGAGCCTGAGGTTAAGTAGGCGGGTGTTATCGAACCAGGCCAAGTGGGGGTCCTAGGGAACGGGTCTGAACTCTCAAGCTTTCGAATCAGCGCCGTCTCCAGAGGTCGGAGGATTCCTGCAGGCGTTCAGAAAGCTGGGATGTATGCGTCTGTTGTGTATATGCAGTAATGCTGCTCGCTGCTGAAGTGGGACAAGGGTGGGCAATCGTTGAGGGGTGCAGGCGCAGGCGCAGGCGCGAGGTGCAGGAGAGGAGGGGACCGCATGGTGGGGCTCAGATCTGGTCTTGTTTAGTTGCACCGATCTGCAGCTCCTGCCCAATGTCAACATGAGGACGTACCTGCCCGCCGTCGCCAGGGCACCCGCTGGAGCATGCCTGGCCAGCAGTCTTGCCATTGGTTGCGCAGATTGTCTTCATTGAGCATTTGCTTCCGTAGTAGAGATGGAAATGACAACGGCAATTCAGATCAGTTTCGCATGACATGCGGAAGAATGCATGCACCAAGGCTAGTCGATCCAGTGCTCGGTCTTATTAATCGCCATCCCTACAGCAACCCGTGTTTTGTTTTCCAAGAATACGCGGCGCTTTCATTTCTGGCGTTTTTTCTCTCTTTCATACACATCTCGCAGATAGGCAAGGCAGACGAAGAAAACAGCAGTAGTGGCCTGGCCTCCATCAAAGCTAATCTGGGATCCCATCAGCTGTACAGAGTATGATCGCAAGGCCATAGCAGGAAACATGAAAGTGACCTTGGGCACAATAAACGGTGCTCTTGTGACGTGATGCGACTTCGGGTACCTTGGCTTATCGATAGCCGCCGCAAGCTGTAGGTGCTCCGCCTACAGTCCCCTGTCTACCGTCGCGACCTTGCACTCCATTACTCAAGACCATGTACGATAGCTTCATAAGCATTCGGTCCATGTCCCAGTGCGCGGCCTCGCTTTCTTCCTGCGATTCAATTACACTGGCGATAACGAGATGCCCAAGGAAAAGAACTACAACCCAGTGCAAGAACAGCGCAAAGCTGACAAGGCCAAGGCGTTGAAGAAAGGTTTGTCGCATCGCAAACCTTGTGCCTGCCGTACTCTGATCTCGCACTGACTGGGGAATACTGGAACTAGGGAAATCGGAGGCGGCCAATCGCAAGAACGAGAAGCTCGCGCAGCGCAACCCCAGCCGCATACAAAAGCAAATAGACGACCTCAAACAGATCACCACCAATGGCGGCAAACTTTCGAAGCACGAGGAAGCGGTACTCGAAGGACTCGAACGCGATCTGAAAGCTGTCAACAAGGCCAGGGAGGCTCTCGGAGACAAGGCGCCTACATTTAGCCGTGGGCCGTGGTCGGATGATCGCGGTGATGGCGTGCTAGGTAAGCGGCGACGAGGACGCGAGGGCGATTCGAGCGACGACAGCGATACTCCTCAGGATGTGAGAAGCATACCGATGCCACGTGACACTCCTCCACCGATACCAAAGGAATTTCTCGACAAATGGTATGCGAAGCGGCGGGCCAAGTGGGCTGCAAACAATCCCAAGCCAGAACGCAACGACGGCGATGGCTCTAGACAGGAAAAGCCGACCAGCGCCACATCTGCAGCTCCCGTTGAGTCCCGGACAGTATACGAAGCGAAGCCTATTGTACGCGACTTGCGCAAGGAGGCAGTCAGCGCGTTCGTGCCTGCAGCCGTGCGAATGAAGATGGATAAAAGCAAAGGCCACGGTGGCCTAATGGAACCAGAGGAGGCCGATCAGCTTGAGCGAGAAGGTTATCTCAAGGGCAGCTCTTCGGGAAAACAACCAGAGCCGCTCGAGCACCGTGACGGGCCGAAAGGAGTTACCATGGAAGATGTTGAGGATACAGACATATGAGCCTCTAGTATCAACAAACCGACCCGGACGACTACTTAATCGTTCAACGGGCCCGAAGATGATGATTCTCCAACACCTGCGACCTGAAGCGATGTAATCAGCAAGCTCACTTTCATGCTCAAACATCGATTTCGACATATGTACAATTTGTAACTGAATGCCTAGGTTGGGACTAGGCCCCGGCTCCGCTCCGAGCTCAGTCCACTTTTGTCCTGGGCCGGCACGAGGATCGGCTTGTTGAACAGAGGACCATCGGTGGAACGGCAGGCATTTTGAAAGGACAGGACGTCATGGGCATCTCGGCTGTCACATTTGCCGCCTGCCAGGGTCAGGTGGATGCATTCGAGGTTGCCTCGAGCGCCGTCCACTGACCAAGGACGTCAGTCGCCGAGCCATTTGCGGCTCCGACAACGGGATCAGTCACCCCTGCCCGGACTAAGCAGTTCTGCACCCTCCTAAAGGCCGGGGTGGGCCAGAACGTAACATACAGGCAAATACCCCAAATTCCCAAAAGTCGGTAGCATTGCAGTTCTTGGTGTAGAACAACATTAACATAATGTAGTTGCATCACTTGGTTTTTACTTTACAAGCTTCCTGGAACACCTAGCACGCCCCAATACCAACCTCACAATGGTCGAGAAGCAGGATGTCGATGGTCCTACGGGCCGCCAGTCTCTTCCGGAGCACAGAGAGTCTTTGGGTGAACACGAGAGGGACCCCGAAGGTATCGGAATTCGCGAAAATGAAGCCCCAGCCTCTAAACTCTTTGCGGCCGAGGTTGGTACTCCTCGGCCGCCCCCCGACGACAAATCTGACTCAGGCGCGGATAACTTTGTCAAGGATGAAACCTACCCCGAGGGCGGACTCGAGGCGTGGCTCGTGGTCCTTGGTGCCTGGTGCGGCCTCTTTGCCTCCCTCGGCCTGATGAATACGATCGCGACCTTGCAAACATACGTGGCTGGGCACCAGCTCTCCGACTACAACGAAGGTACCATCGGATGGATCTTCTCTATCTTCACCGCGGTAGCTTTTAGCTGCGGCGTTTATTTTGGCCCAATGTTTGACGCATACGGGCCTAGGTGGTTGCTTGCCTCTGGATCGCTGTGCCTTACCGCTGGGCTCATGGCTACCAGCGTCTGTACTCGTAGGTCTTGTGCGGCAAGTCTTATCCGCGAGCACAGCTAACTGTTTATAGAATACTGGCATTTCATCTTGTCCTTCTCGCTTCTGACAGGCCTCGGCGTCGCATTGCTTTTCACGCCGTCGGTCGCTGCGATCGGTCACTTCTTCTCCCGTCGGCGAGGCTTCGCATCTGGAATCGGCAGCACGGCGGGCGGCATCGGTGGCATTGCCTTCCCGCTTATTCTCACAAAGCTTTTCTCTCAGTTTGAATGGGGCTGGTCAATGCGTATCCTCGGGTTCATGAACATATTTTTCCTCGTAGTAGCCAACCTCCTGGTGAAGAAGCGGCTGCCAGCACCCAAGGATGCCAGCCCCCACCCCGACTTTCGCATCCTGATGGACAAGACATTTGGCCTCTTCACCGCCTCCATATTCATGATGGAATTCGGCCTCTTTATTCCCGTGGCCTACATCTCAAGCTACGGCATCGCGCAAGGGTTCCCGAGGGACTTTTCAACTGGCACCCTCCTGGCCATCTTCAACACCGGTAGCGTCCTCGGCCGCATCATCCCCGGCTACCTGGCAGACAAGATGGGCCCCTTCAACGCCAACATGAGCACGCTGTGCTTGAGCGTATTCGCCTGCTTCGCCGTGTGGCTGCCGTTCGGGCACACCATGGCCGGGCTGAGTGTCTTCGCCTTCCTGTTCGGATTCGCTACAGGCAACAATATCAGCGTCACGCCCGTGTGCATCGGCCGCCTGTGCCGCACGCAAGAGTACGGGCGTTACTATGCGACCGCCTACGTCGTCGCCGCCGTCGGCTGCCTGATCGGTATCCCAATCGGCGGGTCCATCGTAACGGCCGCGGGCGGCGAGTACTGGGGCGTCATTATCTGCACGGGGCTGTCGCAGGCTCTCGCGCTGGCTTGCTGCTACTGCGCAAGAGGCTTCAAGGTTGGCTGGAGCCCGCTGACAAAGTTTTGAAATATGCAAAATGAAGCCGGTGGCTGATAGAGATTCGCGGAATGGCACTCAGGGCGACCGCTCTACGCGCTCGACATAGAGAGCAAGAAGTTCCCGATGTCCAGAACTCGACCCAGAGCGTAGACCGTAGCTGGAGGCTGATTATACTAGGCATCTGATTCCTTCCATGTCCAACCTCTCTCGTTGGAGGCTTGCTTGTTTTTTGTTTGAAAAGCATCATTATCTTACATTACAGCCACGCCGCGCCACGGCGAAGCATACCATAGAGCTCTGTCGGTTGGACATACATACTGGGAATATAAATGACTTTCAGGACATCGTTGTATTAGCCATGGTGGGCTGTTTCCAGATCCTCGGGGCGCCAGTCCAGGTGCTGCTTCGTGCTGGCAACTTCCCATCCTTCCTTCGTTTGCAAGCAGGCCACAACCCCTCTTCACTTACCCTATTCATCCGCAGCTCATGCGGCCCTCGTACTAGACGTATGGCAAAAAGGTGAGGTCTCTTGGGCTGCAATAAGCGCGTTGCCCCTAACAACAGCGGCGCAAACAAACAAAAACAAACCATGCTCTGGACGTGTCGTGTCCCAGAAGCCCTCGTAGAGAAATGGTTAACTCGCCGGATTCCTAATCCGGAGATTGTCGGTTCGAGTCCGACCGGGGGTGCTTCGTCCGGCGAGCATTTGCTGGTCAACGTGCTTGACTGGCTCAATTTTTTGGTTATTTTCTGCGTCACGGGCAAGTGCTCCAATAGAAAAAAAAAATCTCCAGACGGCCTGTCGTTTTGCTCATTGTATCTCGGGTATCGTGCAAACGACCGACCATGGAAGGGTCGTTTCAAGAGTGGCTTGACTTGACTTCTTTTGAGTCATTACCTTATGTATCCTCGGGATCCGCGTGCAACGATACACAAATTGCGGTGGGCGTGGCAGATATTCTCATGAGTACGCTCATTGTAACCCCACTTATCGTGCCAGAGACATCAACGTTTTAGAATATCTAGAAAACGACCTGTCAGAAGTCAACATTGCTCACAGGTGATCACCGTGCTGGGCTGGCCAAGCTAATCTTGCAGCTCAGGAGCCATTCACAGCAGGCCTGGCTACATTCGTCTCTGCGCGACGGTGAACACGTGTCGGAGGCCGAGCTACGGCCATGTTCTGCCACAGGTTTTTGCTCGGAAGATGGCTAGAGTATATTCGCACTTGAATATGATTGTTCTGCCAGCAATATTTCTGAACATTTGACACACAGCCTTCATGTCCGGCGTCCAGGGCTTTTGCAGCTCGGCGCCCAGCAGTGCTAGCTATGCGACTTGCTGAATTCGAGCCCGCAAAATGAGCAATCGTGGCTAACCCAGGCCATACAGCATGAGACTATTGGACTATTGGGTAACGAAATGGTGTCGCCAAAGCACGAAGACACAGTCTACCATCGATGGAGCAATTATAGTCTCTGGGTCACACAATCGAGTAGCATCTACTTGTCAGTGGCCCAACCATGGCTTCGGAACCGGCAACCCGACAGCGGCTCCGAGGTCGTCAGCCAGGCCGAGGTCAGTAGCCAGGATGCGGTCTTTGGAAAACATGGAGCGGAGACACTAGCGCTTGTGCTCGGAAAGAATATTATTGGAGATGGGACAGCATCCACTTGTCGTAGTCGGGATGGGCCTTCAGCCCCTCGTCTTCCGAGGGTGTGGGGATGAACCTGGTCTCCACGTGTTGTACGGAAACTAGGATTCATGTACTCCGTAATACACTGGAGACGAGATGGTTCAGATGGAGTCCGGAGTGGCTACTTGGGAGTCCGGCGGTCTTCCTGTCGCGGAAAAGGTGAGCCGTTACGAGTGCATGGCATGCGTGGCATGCGTGGCACGCGGTCTTCGGTAGTCGAATGTCCAACGAGCAAGCCTAGAGGACGGGAGGCTGAGGAGAGCGGCTGGAGAGGCGTGTGGCTCCTGCCGTTCGGGAGTGGAGTGCTGTGCTCGGTACTCCGTACACTACGCTGTGTGCCGACGGACCAGGGGACTGCGGGGAGAGTGCGGAGAAGGCTGTGCCTGTCACTCGCCCGTACTTGCCCGGAGAATCCAGGGAGAATCCAACTTCACAAGTGTTCATTCTCTCTTGCACCTCCAAGGTTCGCACCCTAGTCTTGTCTACTCACTTCCCGAGGTTGTGATTACTCCCACCTTTCACCGCCGCTATTTCACTTGGCCAGCCACCGCCCCTCAGCTTCCAGCCTACCTAGTTAGCACCTTGACGTACAATCGCACGTACGTATACTATGTACGCATAGCGCAGCACAGCAAAAGACCCAGTCACCAGGAGACTGGGCCCGAGGCAAAACTGCACAGATTATTCGTACTCCATACACATCGTAAGGTAGACATCGAGCGCCTCGTCTCCCCTGTCTGCGCGGCATATGCTCTCCACCTCAAGGTGCCACCCGACCCCCAACATCCAGCGCCACAACAGCTGCTTCTCGAGACAGCACCCGCCTGTAGCCTCTCGGCTGTGGCAAAACCCCGGGACCACTGGCGCTGCCCTGGCAGGCGCTCTCTCCATCTTGCGACCACATGCTCGAGACTTTCCAGAGGCATGGCAGCCGTGATCACCTCAGCTACATAGTATCGTCGCTGAGGTTTCGGTGATGGAGGCTTAAGATTGCTTTCTCACAATTTTGTTCTCCTAGGCGCAGAGCAGACTCCAGGGCTGTCGTGTCGTTGCTTTGGCTTCCTGACTAGCCCCTCGGCTCAGCCCTGACGGGACCGGAGTCTGTGCCCGTCTGTCTGCCGCGTGCCGCGTGACGGGTGGTCGAACAGACCCCTCATCCCTGCATTTCCATCGTCGGGGCCGCCATGCCTCTCCTGCATTGAGCAGGTATTGTGGGGCGTCAAGGCGTCAACACTAACTGCCATCTAGATGGGCATTTTCTCCATGGGTACTACTCTAGGTTCTGGGATTCTCCGCGAAACGTGCGTGTATCCCGGGTCCGAGCTTGTATGACTCTGGCGATCTTGCCTGCTATGGTGGACCTGTTTCTATAAAGACTGCTCTCCCACCCTGATCTCTTCTCCGAGGCAATGCCCGAGCAAAGCCCCAACTGTCTCGACAGTCCTTTGTGTACCATCGCCTCTTCCGGCCTCTTTGCGGAGCCGTCTACAGGCCATCCACCCTCTCTCTCCTCATCATGAGCGAGCAAACAAAAGTCCAGGACGTCCAAGTCGAGACTGTCGAGCCCGGCTCTAGCCACAATGGCGCCATCTTGGCCACATCGGCTGCTGCGGCCGAGTTCGAGGCTCGCCAGCATAGTATGACACGCATAGAGGCCATCAAGGAGAACTGGAGGTCCCTGATGTGGTGTAAGTCATAATCATCCCCAGCACCTGGTGCGAGCACAAGCCCTTGGCCTAACCCCTAGCTACTCAGGTGGGTACGCTTTCTTCCTCTGCATCACTTGGGGGTTTGATGGAATCGCTGGCGGTATCGTCATCTCCATTGCCGCTTTTCGCAAGGATTTTGGCGTGCCATATGCCGGCGACTACGCCGTTGACGCCAACTGGCAAATTGGCTGGCTTGCTGCAACACTCTTTGGTAAGTTTCCTCCTCAGGATTCCTTCGTCTCCGTGATGTTTCCATAGTGCAGCACTAAAATATCGTGTTTGCAGGAATGATCTTCGGTGGGTTCATTGCAGGCTACATCACCAACAGGTGGGGACGTCAACCCGCCATCGCCGGTGCTTTCATCGTCTACGTGGGCGGCGTCTTCGCCCAGGTCTTCGCAAGCACCAACGCGCACTTCTTTGGCGGAAAGCTTCTCACCGGGCTGCCTCTCGGCATCTTCACCACGGTCGCTCCTACCTACGGTTCCGAAATGGCGCCTCTCGCGATTCGCGGTGCCGTCTCAGCAGGCATGAACTTTGCTATTGTCCTCGGACAGTGTGTCGCCTATGGCGTCATGCGCGAGACCGCCTACCACACAGGAAGCCAGCAGTACAAGATCCTGTTCATGACACAGTGGGGTTTCTGCATCATCGGGCTGGCCATTCTGCCTTTCTTCCCCGAATCGCCTTACTGGCTCATTTCCCACGGCAAGGAAGACAAGGCTCGCAAGAACGTGGCAAAACTGCACGCCGCCGATTTCGACCTCGACGGCGCCATCGCCGAAATCAGAGAATCGCTCGTTCGTGTCAGCAAGGAGAAGGAGGCCCAGGCCAGTCTCGCCGAATGCTTTTCGCGCGATCAATGGAAACGTACTCTTGCTGGAGCTGGCATGTTCTTCGTCCAGAACGCTTCCGGCGCAGGCTGGGTCATTGGCTACATGGCGTACTTCATGCAGCTTGCTGGCCTCCCGGCTACCCGTGCCGCTGATACTTCGGTTGGATTGTCCGGACTCATGGTCTTGGGTAACATGGCGGGCTGGGTCACCGTCGAGAAGTTTGGCAGACGAGGCACTGCGCTCTACGGCTCTGTCATCCTCACCCTTTGCCTGTTTGTCATCGGTATCGTGGCGTCGATCAATGTCCCTGGTGCCATCTGGGCCCAAATTGCGTTCATGGGAATCTGGTCCTTTGGTGAGTGGACACTACTTGCCCCGGTGCCTGGAGGGGACGTGCCAAAACTAATGCTAACAAACCGTGCGATTTTGTAGTATACCAAGCGACTATTGGTGCCGCGGCCTGGCCCATCACTGCCGAGAACGCCACGTCCCGCCTTCGGGCTTCGACACAGTCTTGTGCCACCATGATGAACGGCCTCTCCTCGTGCATCTGGGGTTTTAGCCTTCCGTACGCGATCAACCCTGACCAAGGAAACCTCGGGGGCAAGATTGCCTTTGTGTTTGGCGCCACCATGGTCTTCTGCACCGCGTTTGTCTACTTCTGCATTCCTGAGACTAAGGGCCGCACCTACATCGAGATTGACGAGCTCTGGACACGTCGTGTAGCTCCCCGGCACTTTTCGAAGACCAATCTCGTCACTGTCGGAGAGACTGAAAAGACACAGACCTAGACAACTGTATTGGCCTGGTGAGAATTGGAATAAAGTCGTAGAGTTTGGCGACGCCGTCAAGTCTGTGTTCAAGGTTAGGGCGACCCACGCCAAAGATAGCCTGACAAGAACCGAGAAAAGCGATTTGTTATTATCATTTATCGAGAGCGTTTGCAGCCGGCCTACCTCGAGGTGTGCCGCTACTGCGCAAACATCGTGATCATATACTTTCGCTATGTGATGAATTAGGGGGCGTGCTAACGGTACGACGTGCATGCTAAATGTTTAAATGGGATACGCTTTGAACGTCCTAGGAGTCGTCTGTGAGCATAAGCCCTGAAGCCTAATATCGTGGTTAGGCTATCATTGGGAAATTACGCTAACGCTTGTTACCATGACTCGCGCTTGGACGCGCTTGCGAGTTCTCCGCAGTGCCCGGGCTCTGCAGCCCGTTCGTCCTGCCCTGCGTGTCTCACAATCTAGTTATTCCTTCCCAACTTCTGGAAAATGCCGTTGCAACGTCAATTTACTGGATACCCACTTGCGGTGACCAAAATCAGTCTCTCCCATCAAGTGCAGCCGACACCGCCATACTTCCAACCTCTTGCCTGTGACATATCTCTTTTAACCGCAAGCAGGCTCAAGGCCGCACTTTGGCGCAACGTCCCAGAGACTCAG